GAAGGTCGAGCCATATAGGAGACGTTAAGAAATGTTGAATGGCTTCAGATAGTTTGATTTCTTCCCCCTCGCTGTCGGTGATGACCGCGTTGAAGTACAGGTAGGAACCGAGGAGAGACATCGAGATCATGGCGGCTACACTGAGATGCAACATTCTTTTAATGAAGCTCCTCTTTTTTCTCGGCTTCAGTCGCCATTCCTTGCTAAACGTGTCGAAACTCAAGCTGGCGGAGACGACCATAACAAATATCCATACGGTGTCGTCCCCGATGTAAGTCAACATTGGGTAAAATAAATACGCGGTGCACAGCGTGATCCATATAGATCCTTGCTCTCTTCCTATGTTTCCAACCGTCCATACACCTGACCAAATCCGATTAAATCGAATCCAATTAAATAACAAATAATTAAACAAATAAACGAAAAATAAATCATCGGGAAACGATATAAATATATGACAATGAATATTCGCTCAGTAATTTTGTTGAATTATATTCGTGGTAGCGTTTCCTCGCTTAACTAGTCTTAAAAATAGCTATACAAGTTATCAACTAATTATGTAAGGCAAACTAATTGTCAGCGCGAAGAATGAAATTGATGAAGCCGCAGCTGTGCGTTTCTTGTTTACCTAATGCTATGACAAGAGGCGTCAGGATCAGCAGGTGTCTGAAATTGATCCCGAACAATTCGTCCTCCGGTACGGCGTTGCGAAATATCTCGGCCCACATGTATGCGACAGCATTTTGAGCCGCGAATCGCACCGCCGAGAATGGCGGCTGAAATTAAGTGACACGTTGCATTTTTTATCGCTGTCACAATATTTTATTATACATGAAATAATTATTCTCAGATTCAATGATGAGACAGCGAAATCCCATACAATGCAAACGCAGAATGGAGTGTATAAAATGATATTAAATAAAAACCTGCGGCCTAATACTAATCGATTTTATAACTTACCTTACGATAGAGCTTCACATTCTTTTTGAATTCGTTTAGGAAATTGGGATCGTCGTTCGCGTCGCGTACGTAACAAGGGATCCTGTAGATATCTCGGAGCCATCCGAGGCCAAAATATCCACCGAAAGTGCTGAAATACGCGAGAGCCTGAAGGTCCCGTTCGAGATAAACATGATGCGCGCCGAATAGACCTCCGAACAGCCACAACACGTAAGCCCAGAGCTTCGACTTCCGTTTCCTCGTGTTCTCCTTCTGTCCATCGACGTGTCCGTTGTCCGCCACCATTTTCACTTGTTCCATTATGTTTAAATTAATTGACACTCAAACGCACTTCATCTTGCAGTCTGATTACGCGCACTTCCTTACATGTGCTACGTCCTGTTTATAATTGTAAAGTAAAAACGAAAACGTACGGTACTTCCGATAGCACTAACGACACTCGCTATGATAATTTTTTATCAGTTTTATCACTCGTTCCTATTCTGTCTACGTTTACTTGACGATCCTCTTGAGCGACACAGGTATTAGTTTTCGTTCGACTTGTGTTACAAAAATGCACTTACCGCGAGCAGGTTCCATCCCAAGGTGGTTCGACGTGCCGGTGGTTCAACGCTCTGTCAAACATAACGGTACCGTCGCAGGAGCGTACCAACGAGCTCCTAAACGAATTCCACATAGAAAATGCAAAACAGGAAATCAAATTCAATATTCATAATTAAACACCCAGCAATTTGATATTCACTTTCTTTCGAATTTCGTAAATGGATAATAGCTACTTTCTACGAGATGATTCACGCAGGAACACGTGGTACATTTCAACTCGTTCTCGCGTAATATATTTCGGCCTCGATTCCAAGTTCGACGTATTATGATGTGAACATTTTTCTTCGACTTCGAACGGGTATGGTGAGTTAGTCAACGCTGAGAATCCGTTGTACGTCCTGTAAAAACAGTAACGTTGAATGCAAACATTTAAAATAGAATTTGGCGTTAAACAGTTCGTTCAACTTCTGGCAGATGATGAAAATTAAAAGGCCTTTTTATTGCCTGTTACTATTTAGAAACGGCCTCGATGAGAGAATAAGAATAGCACATTTATTTTGTTGGGGATAAAGATGGAATCAGAGTTTAGAATCCTCATAATTTCATTTTTATTTTTATAACACTCTGTCATAATTTGCGTAAAAATTTAAAATACAAAATTCAATCAGTTATTTAATAGAATCTTGTAATATAAAAAAGAATAAACGCGTAAGTGGCATATGTGTTACGTAATTCGTATATTATAAATCGTCCCGCGTTTGTATGGCTATTAAAACTGATGACATTGAACCAGCGACCGTGACATTGAACCAAAAGTCCCTAGAAAGTTTACGAGTTCATCTCACCACTCATCTTACGACCTAATAATCGCATTCCATGAAGAAGAACACATACTTTCTCACATATTATGCTCTAAAGCGTACGATAGCTGAATTATATCATTCGTAATATATCATTAACGACTAATAAATCATTCCGAGGATAATTTCTTTGAAATCAATACAGTAGAACAACAGGACATCATTTTTTGAAAATCTGAAAATTCTCCTCATTTGAACTTCTAATACAGCAATAGGAAAACGTCGAGAGCACATTTCGCTCGCGTTTGGAAATGAATTTCAAATAATAGGGACAAAGAGTTTCGATCGAAAGATAACATGGCGACGCACACACGTTGCTCGGATTTTCTCGTTCAATTCTTTCGAGCAGCGAGTTCGTTTCACAGAACGTAAAAAAACTTGTAATACAGTCGAACGTTCGGAAGTGGTAAAAGTGATTCCCGGATGGAAGATGCATGGCGATGGATGGAAATTGCACGAGGAAAAGCCATAAGGAATGGCGCAGAATAGCGAAGAAGGAGCGACGCCGACGCCTGCGTCGCGAAGCGGCCTCCGAGCGTGAAGCGGAAGAGGAGAACCTGAGGGCAGCACTTGAAAAGACCGCGGATTATTTGAGTTGGATGGAACGGTGCGAAGTTGAAGAGAAGGAGAAAGAAGAAAAAGAAAAGGCCGAGCACGATGAAAGAGAAAAATTATGGCTGGAGGAAGAGGTAAAAATAATTGTCATCGTATTTTATGCTGTTTCTATTCCATCATCCAATTATTTAATTATATTTTATATTATTTGTACCATGTCATTCAACTGTTTAATTACATCCTTGTATTTTACGTTATTTGTATTGCGCTTGCCAATTATATCAAATTTTATAATATCTACATTGTATCAACCAAATATGTAATTGTATTTTATGTTACTTGTATTGTATATTATTCCATGCACACGTAATAAAAAGAATATCCCAATTCCTCGAACTCGTAAAATTTCAAAAACTTGTTTAGGATTAATTCTATCGCTGTCACCGTCGAAATTACTTTGTTTTATCGATGGGAAACGTTCGTGCAGACGTTCTAAGGTTATTTCGTGAAAAATCCTGCGTAAGATGTTAAAATGTGGATACCAAAGCCTGCTAGTTATTACGCGATGCCTGTAAACTTGACGAATGGAGTTTGTCAGATTCTAAATTTATATCCATACGGTTTACTATAGGTAAGGGCGCAGAAAGAATGGCAATTACTGCAGGAGCGGAAGCAAAGAGCTCGGCAGCAGCAGCTGGAACAGGAGGCCAAGATCCGAGAAGAGTTCGAGGCGAAGCAAGAAGCGATTCGCATGAAGCAGGAGGAGGAGAAACGTAAAAGGGATGAAGAGATAAAACAGAGGGAACAGTTGTTAAAAGAGATCGACGATTATATCGATAATGGCATTAAAACGCCCGAAGCCTTACGGGAAGTTATTGATAGCCAGCCGGGAAAAGACCTCTGTCCTTTCTTCACCAAAACTGGTGCTTGCAGGTAAGGATTTCTTTCATTCAAATTAAAGAATCCTAAATTATGTAATCCTAATATTCAATGTAAATTATTTAAAAGTATTATAAAATTCGATAGAAATAAAATTTGTTAATATGTAATCGAAACAATTTTTACAGATACGGGGATACGTGTTCGAGAAATCATCGGCGCGTATGTTTAAGCAAGGTGATTCTCGTGCCCGGCTTCTACAGTCACTTCTCCTTGGAAAAGAACTCTGCCGAATACGACACAGATATCGGGCTCGAGTTCGAGAGTTCCGAGACCCGGCAGCACTTCCGCGAGTTCTACAAAGACGTCGTGCCGGAATTGGAATCCTTTGGGCGGATAAAAACTTTAAAGTATTGCTGCAACACGGAGGTCCATTTGCGTGGAAACCTCTATGTGGAATATCACACAGAGAGGGAAGCTGCGAGGGCGTTGAGGAGACTGAAGGGCCGTTGGTACGCGGGCCGGCAGCTCAATTGCGAGTTCGTAAATTTGAAATCATGGAGAAGTGCCGTGTGCGGAATGTCCAAGTGTCCGAAAGGAAGGGCATGTAATTTTCTACATACTTTCAAGAATCCTCATGACGAGTACGATATCAAAAGTCCTCCGAGATGGGCGAAACAATCGTCCGCATCGTCTCAAGAAGTCGCGAGTAGCAGGAAGAGTGAACACAGGTACGATTCTCATAATTTAAATTGCGACTTGGAATATTTAGATCCTTGTTTTTGATCTGTTTAGAAATAAATCAAAATGGGAGGACGCCAGTGATGCGGAAGACGGGAAGAATTGGAGGTGGTCCGAATCCCCAGAGCCGGAAGTGGAACACCGGTCGAGGAATGAGAAGCGACATCGGCATTCCGATGACAGACAGAAATCATCGAGGCGACACGAACAATCCGATGACGAGACTCCAACCAAGCATCGTCGGTTGAGTTCCAAAAAGCATTCCGAAGAAAAAACCAAAGACGACAGTGTTTCGAACGGCAGTAGACGTTCGAAGAAATATCAAAGTAAAAGGGATGAAGATAGTCATTCCGATAAAAGATACTCGAAGGGCGACAGGAGTCATCGTTCCAAGTCTCACAGATCTTCGAGATATTCTAGGAAGGACAAAGAAGAACAGGAGAGAACCAAACAGAAATCACACGAGTCATGCGAGGATTCTTTAAGAAAAAATGAATCGGATAAATCAAACACTGAAGAAATTCAGGGTAGAATATCTCGGGTGAAATTGAAATGGGATAAAGAGAATGACTCTGAAAACACAGGGAACTCTTCCGATTCAGACTTTCCCAGTACCGTAGAAGAAAAAAAGACTGAAACTTCGCGATGCACAAAAACAGCAGACGATGAATGGGCTACGACAGAATCGGAGGATTAAAATGAAGGCAATGTAGTAAACGCGTGTACAGATGATTTAAAGTTGAAGTTCATTGTACCGAAGAAATAATTACTAGATTTATAATTACCTTTTCCCAGAAGAATGTATTTATCAATAAACTGTTTTGTACTTAAATAGTTTTGAACTATTGTTGTAAATAATTAAATGAATTCAATTTAATGTTAATCAATCGTCCCAACTTTTTTCGCTGGTCTATCTTATCTAATACAAGCAATCAGTGCTAAGTTTCAAGTATCAGTTTTCGTAATCTACTTATTTTATTCTGTAGATTATTCTTTAATTCTGACAGGTTCGATCACTGATTCGACAGACAATAGACTTATCAGATAAGCTGCTCCAATTTAACCGAGCGCGAGGATGAGTCTAATTTATTGTAGTAAAGTCTACCGGATAAGGTGGACTTCTAGTGTTTCGTAACTCGGTTAAAAAATGATTCGTTTAAGTTTTTTGATATTACTGTACTTTGCTTCTCGTCCTGGGGACGCTGTCGGCCTTCACGGGTTTCATTATCACGGTTTAGAGGAACCGGAAGCCGTGAACAGAGCGACAGAAAATATAACTGAGGGATGGATCCAGCAGCCCCTCGATCACTTCAATTCCCACGATAATCGTACCTGGTGGATGGTATGAATCAACTTACAAGATCAGCAAATTAAATGCATATCATTCTTTTGTAATCGAATTAATGTACAAATTCATTTCGTACAAAAATCTGCGATTTAGGATTGAGTTCAGGGTTTGTGTTTCTCTTCCACAGCGGTACTTAAAGAACTCGCACTTTTATAAGGAAGGTGGTCCGATCTTGATTATGATCGGAGGAGAATGGGAGATATCGAACGGTTTTCTAGAAGCGGGATTGATGTACGAGCTCGCATCTAAACACAACGCGACCATGTATTATACCGAGCATCGTTATTACGGGAAAAGCAGGCCTACTCCGTAAGATTAACTCTGCTCACATTAAAAACTCGTTGCAAAATTCTCGAACGATTTTCGAATTTTTGCTTTTACGCTTTTAGAAATATTAGCTCGAGCAATTTGCAATACCTGAGCGTCGATCAAGCGCTGGCCGACCTAGCGTACTTTATTCAAAGTAGGAAGAACTTAGAAGGATTTGAAAATAGTACTGTGATCGTTTTCGGTGGGTCCTACGCCGGGGGTATGGCCAGTTGGGCCAGATTAAAGTATCCTCATTTGATTCAGGGCGCGTTGGCTAGTAGTGCTCCGGTTTTTTCAAAACCCGATTTCTTCGGTGAGGATTTGTATGCATTTATAAGACACAATTGCTGTGATACTTGATAAGATCAATCTTAATTTTTAAAACTATATATTCTGAATCTGCGGTCTGTTGATAATCCATCTTTTTTAGAATATTACGAAGTCGTGGCTGAATCGCTCCGTAAGTACAGTCAGAAATGCGTCGACGAGATCAAAGCTGCATTCGATGGGATAGAAAAATTAATATTCACCGACAAAGACGGTCTACAAAAATTAAAAACATACTTCAAGTAATTATCATCTATATCATCATCCAATTAATTAACAATTCAATATAGATACAATAGTATAATATTCATATTTCAGTTTATGCGATCCGATCGAATTTTCACCTGACGATCTTGGCTACTTAATGAATACCTTGGCAGAGGTACGTATATTTAAAAATCGTAACTGGAGAATGCTTGATCTCAGATTTATCTGTTTTTTTAGACATTCGCTGGCATCGTTCAATACGATAAAGTAACAAATGGCCGAACGATGATCGCAGCTACCTGCGAGAAAATGACTGCCTCGAACTTGGGTTCTCCTATCGAAAGATTGGCGCGGTTGGTGTCCAGCAATAACTGTTTTCCAAGCAGTTATAAAAAATTCGTAAAGGTCTACGCGAACGAAACGTGGGACGCGCAATCCGATATCAGTGAGTATCAATCAAAGAGATTTTTATCTTGAATTAATTAATTCAATGTTTTTGATAAAGAAGAATCGAATGAATTTGTTATTGGAAATCGTTGTTGAATTTTTAGTGAGGCTGTGGTATTATCAGACTTGCACGGAGTTCGGTAATTATCAGACTTCAAATTCGAAGAATTCGATCTTTGGCACGCTGTTCCCCCTGCGATACTACATAGACATCTGCACCGACTTCTATGGGAAATAGTGAGTGTCAGGAAACGATTTTTCTCGAAACTATCTTTAAACATTGACTTCTAATTTCTGGTTTTTGTATTATAGTTATAATATGGATTTTCTGAAGGGAAGAGTTAAGAGGACGAACTTAATGTACGGTGGTTTGCATCCGGATTTGCGGAGAGTGATTTTTACTAACGGAGAGATCGATCCGTGGCACCCTTTATCTCTTCTTTCTTCGAATCTTGATCAACAAGTATATGGGATACTCATTAAAAGTAATGCCTCATAAAAAGTGCTCCAATTTTGACAAATAAAAATGATGATTTATTGAGTGACTAATTTTTAGATTCGTCGCATTGCCGAGATTTATACACCGATACGCCCACAGATGGTCAAGAACTCTTGAAGGCCAGAGCTCAAGTGCGCAGTATTATTTCCAGCTGGATCTCTTCTTGATTTTAATAGATATGGAATAAGTAAAAAAAGATATGCCTTTATTTCCATTGAGATAATCATATTTACAGCAATCAAAATTAAATGACATGCATCTTAATTATAGAACGTAAGCCTAATTCTTGAAAGCTATGTAATGTAGATTCTAAAAGTACTTCAATAAAAAAGAACATACGATCGAATTCTTATAATTGCTACCGAGATCGAACGTCCACCTCCTTCCGTTTCATTTTTTTGTTAATCTCGCGAGATTTTAATCGACATAGCTCCTTTTCGTCCACAAAGCAAAACATTTTACAGCAAACAATTTTAATGATTTCGGATCAGTCGACTTCTAACTTTCTGAAAGATCCGGTAAGACCGTACATAGAATCGTTCTGGCCGATATCGGAACACCCAAAGCCTTGTTTCAATGCTGAAACTGCACCTTCCCGAGCTTTTTCCGAGTACATGTCCAGTCGCACTCGCATCTTGTCGTGGCTCAGCAGTGTCGGTTGCAACTCTTGCAATTCCTTTCTCCAGAGATCTAGCAAACAATTATTTGAAATTTCAAACCGCAGATTTCATTTTAATCTTTACAATACGAATTTCATTTCGTACTATGGCACATGTATTTTTAAATGCGTTGAACCTGCGACCTATTTATCTTACCAATCATTTCCTTCATGGGGATGGTGCCGCCGTATTCTTTCGGCAACAGGCTCGTGTCCATTTTATGATTGATAGCGTCTTCGAGGCTCGTATAGATCTTGACACGCTTCTTGATCTTGTCCGAGATCAACGACATTCCGAAATCTAGGGCGAACTTTAACGATGGGTGCGTATTAATAGCGTTGACTTCCTTGTGTCTCATCGGTATGGTCCTCTGGAATCACGAAATTTATCTTGAATGACTCCTTTAGAATCGATCTAGATATCGATCGATCGATCGGTAAATTAGATTTGAAGTCGTGTAAAACAAAAGATCGATCAATGAGATACAAATTTTCTTTAGAAGTCAGTTCACCAGATTATGTAAACAGTACAAAGTTCCATAAGGTGCCACTTCTTAGTAATCTCTCCTCAGTGAATATAAATACGAAAGGTTCAATAGTTTCTCATGTATCGAAAGTGAGCAAACATCGTTCGATCGAACGCGTGAAAGAAGTCTTAAAAACCGGTTTTGCCTTCTACCAAATGGTCAGTTGCATCAGTGGCCTTGAAATTTTAAACTTCGAACAACGAAAGTGAAACATACTTTATAATCCTTCCCGGTGGGACTTGCTATAGGAGAGGAAGTTTGTCAAACATACACACTCCGTCTCGTATTACAACTAGGCTACGATTTTCTACACCAAATAAAGCGATTTCGACATTAGTTTAAAACGGTTCTTAAAATACATTTTTCAAATTGATATAAGTGTATTATTTCTGATATTTTCAGAAGAATATTTTAAATATAAAGACATCTATAATAATGATCCAAATTTCGAAGACAACGAATTTTATTAATAATTAGAAAGTTTTTGGTGTATACGAGTACCTCGCCGTTTTTGACGATGCGGACCGCTTCCTTCGGGGTGAAGAGCGTCAGGTGAGGGAAACTGACGCCGGCACCGTCCGCGAAATGCACGAATCCTCGCACCTGGCTCTCCTCGTCTTCCATCAAAGCCTCATAAGTGATCGCGTGAATTCTACACATGTCGGCATTCGTATACTTATGAGGATCGAAAACACCTGAAAACCGCGCGCGGAAAGAGGTAGTCAATGCGGTGTGCAACATGTCGCAAAATTTCCTTTCGCTACTTAAATGATTGCCGATATTTAAGAATGAAATTCCACGGAAATTAGAAGCTACGAAATATAATTATACATGTACACACGCGTAACGATTGGGCAAACCTGTCGCAATCCTGTTACACGGATGGAAATGCTGGGTGAAATGAAAATATCAGATAATTCTGTGGTTACGTGATAGAGCAACGGAAATCGAATGCCGTATCCGTCACAGAATTATTCGCAGGTAGACCGCGGACGTCTTAATAATCGTCTCGCATCGTCGAGAAAATTATTCGACCCATGGAATCGACGAAATTAAATATCAGCAGTCTATTCCCGCGGATACAAATTTTACCTGGTCTCGCAATAATAACGCGTCGGCCTTTGGCGTCTCGCCCGGGTGCGGCGAAAAGATATCTGCAGAAACCATTCGCATCGTCATTAAATAAAATCATTTGTAATCTTTTTATATAATTTTACCCCAAGGACATGAGTTCTTCCATCGTCGGTTCTGTCAGGTCCAAATGGTTAAACGCTGGATGGTATACTTGGCGGAGCAACAGGTATCTTTCGATCGCCTCTTCCGCCATCGGGACGTTAAATTTTTTACATCTTAAGAATCTTAGCAAAAATCGAGCATCTATCCAACGAGAAACGTGGCTTGAATGAAAGAGCCATGTCAGACCTGGCTACCACTTTAGTATTTAGAACAAGTAGGAGCATATATGATACTATCAAATTCCTTTCTCTCGGTGTTTGTTCCAATCGTTAAACACTTAGAATTCTCGAGATATCAACAAAAATATATTGCTGTCATTATATTGGAAATACTAAAGTGGGCCCCGAATAAAACAAATTTCTCACCGAGACGGCAGTTTTGAATACGCGGATTCAACTTGATCCAATTACGTATCTGTTGGAGGGCTTGATCTCGTGTATTCTTGTCCTCCCTGAGTTCCTCCTTGGCAAGTTTCTGCGTATCCTCCGGAAGGGTACACTCGTAATCGTCTTCCGTGGTTACCCACTCGACCGCTCCCATTTTTACGTTTTTTTTTTAATTCGAATCAGAAGGAGCAGCCTCGAGCTTTTCGAAATCCGAATTACTATTGCTACAGTATTCTAAAAAATCGTTTCCCATTAGACCGAGGATTTCTATGCACAACAGGTTTACAGTTTCAAAGAATGTGAACCAGAATCTCGTTTGCTCTTCAAACATAATTCTGATATAACGAGCTGTTCTAATTGTTCGTAAATAAAATACCGAGAGCGATCAATGGGATTAACGGAATCTAATATTTCGAGTGAATGAAAATTAGTTTCTTTTTCTGCGAATCACGCAGAAGTTTCGCAATTTGTTAGACCTGGCCATTTCGTGACATAACTACTTCGTCGGTTTATATGATATAATGTTCGACCGAGTATGAACTCTACCGAAGGGGTATTACGTGTACTTCGAGAAGGTAACGACTAGTTTCGCAATCACTTTCTCCGGTTATGCAATCGGCTGGATTGCTCGCCCATCTTTGTTCTCCGATTTTACACGGCCGACTAACATGCTTCCATGCCTCGCCAGTTAGATAATCTTTTTTAATCTGTTTGCTTTCTAATGACTAATCCCGTTTAACGTTCTTTAATTTCTATCTCTATTACCAGATAGAATCTCGATCTCCACGATAAGCATTTAAATCGACTTAACATCCATAGAGATTGGAGATTTCATGTATTTAAAACCTGAGTATGTTACAACGATTAAATGATAAAAGTCGTTTTTATTCGAAACATATTTTATTAAATGAAATAAAAAAATGTGCTCCAAGGTCTGTCTGGTCAACAGCTTTTTTTATCAACGTCATTTACATGGATGTCCAATATAAATATCAAAAGCGCTAAAAGGTTGCGCCGAATATCCTGAAATCCTTGAGAATTCTTTAAGAACCCGGATGGCGATCGGACCCGTAAAAGTGATGAACGATTTTCCTGATTATAACTGAAATCTCGCGTTCGAAGTCTGTTACTCGATATATATCACCACACGTAATGCCAGTAAAGGAAATAGGCCGCGCAACTATCTTCCGCGTAGAAAGTGCCACTTATCTAGTTATTACAAAAGTTCTTTCTTCGACGCCGATTGAAGGGATTGCGGCAATACATGCGGTAACTTGCATAAATTACTGTAACAGATAAAAACTTGCCTATTTCCATTGCCATTATTCTACGCAAAGTAAAGTCTTCGTGAAATCGATTTACGAAATGAAATTCAAACCGAGACTTCGTTTATCCTTTAAAATCGTGTATTTTAAGTCTTTGCATTTTTTACTAACTAAGTACATGAGATCAGCAGTTTAAATCCTGTTCGTATTTTATTTCAAATTCACTCTAGCAAATGAGACGTGGATTTTCAACGAATGTTAAATATTGAGAATAAACATTTCGTATCACTGGGTAAATCTTTAGTATGCACCGTACGTATAGTTACGTACATTGTAAACAATTTCATTGATCGTATGCAATATTAAATATTGGATATGTACTTGACGCACGGTTTTGTAAAATCGTGAACAAAGGGGGATGATAAGTAGGTCCGACCTGCGTCCTTGGCCTTCACGATTTCTGACCTTTGCAATCAAGGCCCGCGATTAAAATTCCTGCCGCATTGATTCGATGAAGGTATGCATGTACGTACATCGAGAAGAATGGTGCCGTGATCGAAATGTCTAAACGCATTTGAATCACTGTACCACTAGAACGCGAGCTAATGATAAAAAGAATTTAACTGTCGCGACGATTCAGAGAATTAGAAGCGAGTATAAATTTTAGAAACACGGAATTTATATGCGCATTTAATATTTTTATGAGACACGCTCGAGCGTTCAGATTTTTAATTTATTTTAATGTCTGATATGTAAATACGTGTATACTCACTACTCTTCCAACTCTCGTTTTATATCCTAGGACACTTGTATTTACCACGATCACGTAATAATATTTTATCTAAAACGATTTTGAAAACGCTAAGGAATACGAGAAAAAAAAGAACGTACCCGGGTTCGTGGTCGCGCAGGTGGACTGTTAGAGCCGTGGAGGAGACTGTCTCCTCTCTTCCGTCGAGCGCTCTTTTATAATTTCCAGTTACACCTTTCTTTTGGCTCCGCCTTCTCGTATTCCTTCAGTTCTATCCGCCGTCGAACCGGAGGAACAACGTCCCTTCGAAGGACGACTCGTACGTAGCCTTCTATCAAATCGAGTAAGCGTGAAACCCCAATGTCGCACGCAAAACAAAATGCAAGTTTTTCACGATTCACCTCTCTTTTATAGACGCGGGGACTGATCGTTGTTAAACGCACGACAATGCTTCATTTCGTAACGAACCTTTCTTTTTTCAAAACGTTCATTGCAAAACTGTCTCTAAACCGCATTTCTTTTTCTCAGGTAAAAAGTATTCGTGTAACTTGGGTATTAAAAAATTGAGAAGAATTCTTTAGAAGATTCTGATAGAATTGCTATTAAAAATTAAACAGGGAATTCTCCTTTAGTTATCAAATTGTCGATTCGAAATTGATACTAATCGCTGTTAATATTTGTAGAATAAGGAATCGTACTAATTGGTCATAATAAAATTCTATAAACGCATAATCGTGTTACTATCTAATGACTCCTCCGTATTCTTTCACGTAACTGATTTTACCTTACGTCATCGGGCCACGTAACGTGTATATAATTAGGAAATTTCTTTTTTATTGGCTTCAATCTCTCACTAGATTTTAGGCAGCATTTAAAATCATTTCTTAAATGAAAGCCGGAAATATTCTATAATGATAATATCAACGTAGGCATGGTTCAGTTATTAATCGCATTTTATATTACTCATCGTCGGGGTATAATTTAACGAGGATAGACCAGCGGCAAAGCTTGAAGAGACGTCGTCGCGAGTAGGGGTGGAGTTTGTAAAGGAAGGGAAACGGTGGAGTGATTGTTACAGTTTTGCATAACGTTAGCAACACTGACATAAGTCTACGTAACGGTTTTGTTACTGTTTTTTTTTTTTCTACCGAGTCTTGACACGCAATAGTTTCAGCGTTCGCCGAAAGTGAAATGTAATTCTATTCCTAGGAATGTTCCGTCTACGGAACGTCGATCTGTGGAATTATGAAATGATTCACGTTACAGTTATCAAATATATTTTTTATTGAGCTTACGTATACAATCTTCGTCTAACGCAAAGTCCTTCTTACAAAAAACTATGTAGAACTTACATGGGTTCTACAAAACGCGTTAAAAATATTATAGCAAAATGATATCACACGTAACAGCCTTCAAACTTACAATATATTTTAATGAGGAACATGTGTAACAAGAATAACTAACTAAATTAATTAACGTCTGCCGATCGACCAATAACTTGCGCCTTAGCGTGAGCTCCCTTGCAGCCGCTACCAGACTGCAGCAAGCTTTGTTTAATTTCATTAATCTGATTCGACGTCAATTTTAAATCGCTATCTCTCGCTGCTTTTATTATACACATTTCTAAAACATCTTCGGTCAATGGTTGATAAGGTACGATCAAACTGTCTATTTTTTTATGCGCCAACGCTTCGGCGATCTTATTTGTACTTTGCGCCAAGTCGATCTTTCTCTTTAAATTGTCATCCACCTCTGCCACGTTAAAAATAGCTATTATCGTAATACATTTGTCTTTCTTCTTACTCAACTTTTCTATCACATTAACGAAGATATCTAGATTCCTCAGTTTTAGATTCTCCATTATTATTAAGTGAAAGGATTCCAGTGAGCTTAAACTAGTTTCGTCTGACAAAGGGTCTACTAATAAGTCGTACGTAAAAATTTCTTCTCGCAAGGGGAAATGTTTCATTATGATCTCGGCAGTATATGATTTACCAACACCAGTGCCACCGACGAGGCACAGTACTTTTAAGTAAAAAAAGTCCTGATCTAAATGTGTAATGATTTTCGAGACTGAATCATCCTGCCCATGTATCGCCTGTTGCAAGTTCTGACTGGCATTGGAGAACAGCGTTGCACGGTGACAAATTGTGTGCACGTTCAAATTTACAAACAGTGAAAGTATCATAGCAATTATTGGCAGTGCAAACAGCGTCAAGCAGCTGTAGTAGCACATGTGTGACTTCTGTTTAGCCGGAATTTTACTCTTGGCTACTAGAGGCCTCAATTTACTTTTTACATTCTGATACGTATTCTTATTTACATTAGTTACAACGTTCTCTTGTTTTATTACATTATTTATGTTATCAAAGTCCTTAGGTTGACCATCAGGGCATTGATTTGGCACATTTGATTTAAAGGAAGGTAAACGGAATGTAACTTTATTTGTATCTATGGCATTTTTTACTTCATTACATTGGGTCTCGCTCACTGTTCTTCTCAACTCAAATTTTGGAGCGTGTAATATATTGTTACCTTTGAACGATTGTCGACTGGGAGATTTGAAAAATTCTGTTGTTTGAGCCTCGTTACGGTATTCACTGTCAAACCGTGGAGACTCCAATGATCTTGCCTGCCTGTAATCAATAAAAGAAATGATCGTTCATGAAACATTATTGTCTATTGCCTACAAATATTAATAATTTACCTTATAGATTCATTTCTGTCTAAAATTTGCTCGTAACTGAATTGTCTAACCAAGTTAAACTGCTTTTCGGACTCCAAGGTTTGTCTTATATGAAGTCGTTGCGACGAAGGTGTCTTAGAATAATCGACAGTTTCTGTTAAATTCCAGTCAGCATCTGAATCCAACAGTTTCAACGCTGCAAAATCTTTTTCCATTACAGCACTTCCTTCAACCACGATTCAAAACACACAGATCAACCGGCAAACGAGGAATGTATGTTCAATCGTGAAAATTAAAGAATTACAACTTAAATTACAATTTAAAACAAATAAAATAGGCACATGTAGGTTTCTTTGGCACAGGTTCAGTTCAATGTATTTCATATACGAGTCGAAAGGGCATTGCGATGCCATCTCGCGTTGAAGCTGTAGGATTAAGTGGAATAAGCAATTTTCTAAACAGAAAAATGTTAATTTTTCTAATAGATCGATTTGTCAAGGTCGTAATAAATTGAAGATCGAAGATATATAAAACAATAGCAAAGGTTTATTTGTATATACATATTTCCAAAAGTCTCAGCTTCATTCCTCTACATTTTTGTACATACTGCACAAATAAATAATTTACAAATTGTGCTTGCATCTGATGCCGATCGAATGCGACGTCTTTATTATAATAGTTTTATTGATGAGATAAATAAGTTTCACTCGTTCGGACGTGGAGAATGGTTCGAAAAGTTGCGCGCTGTATATCGTTTTATCCGTTCTGCCGTCAGGGACGAGAATTTCCGCCGTTCATGCTCAGTTTATGCTCATGTATCGACGAGCACGGATTGATTATCGTGGACGCTCCATTATTTTGTATTTTCGTGATGTGACATTTCTCTGGTGAAATAAAAATTAATCAAAATGCAGCCGACTGTATTAACAGTGATATGCCTTTGGACTATGTCGATGCTCTCTCTGACCACCGGGAGAATTCATGAACTCAAGATACGGGTTAGTCCGACGAATATCTAGCGACGACTCGTGCATATTTACCGATCACTACGTCGGAACTTTTATTTCTCTGTTACGTCGATCGCGTGTCAATTAATTGCGTTATTTACATAGGCTGCGCGATCGCTAATTAAGTTAAAGGGCAGCAATTCTGTAAGCGTGTAATACAAATTTCCGATAGTATTATCGATACACTTTAGATTACGTACGTTTTATACACTTCCTTAGCCGTTTTATCGACGAGTCATTATGGCTATAAATTAGAATCCTTGCGGTCTTGAAATTATGATTGTCACTCGTTAGAGAACCGTATCGTTAGGTTACGGAACGTGACACTTACAAATGTCGCATGTTACAGAAAGATGTACGGCGAAACTTCGCCCTTAGCACTTTCGGCTTTATCAAAGGCGGCACTCTCGATGTAAACCTAACGAATTTCAGAGCTGAACCTTACGACGAGAATGCCGTGGTGAGTAAAATGCAACGCGTCCCACGGCCACCTGTTCCTATTTCCCGACTACTACTTCCGCTATTTAAAACGCATGTAACTCAACGCAATAAAACCGATCGATCCTCGCCAATGATTTGACTACCAATTATTCTCCTATCCCTACGAAACGAGAGATCCACTTATTTGTATAATCGTGTACTTTGTATTTTTCTACGATTCAGTTCGGATTCAGTTTGGATCGAACGTTAAGCCAAGCGATGAATCCGTATTTAGATAGCCATCAAGAGAGATGCACTCTTCAAGACATTTCGAGCGTCAAACCCGATTACGAACAGAGGAACGACATCGCAGTCATATATTTCACAATGGACTTGAAAAATAATTTGTGAGTATATGAGAACTCGCGCGATTGTTCGTCGAATTCAAGTGTTAACGGAATCGTGAATGAGCGGACGTGTTACAGATTGAAAGTAAATTGTAGTCAAACCGTTCATGCCGTGCATGTTTATAAAGACTCCAGTAGGCTATCGGTATATCGGGAGAAGAGAGACTCCTTCCAATTCAGCGACGATGTCCTTTTCCCCCGAAGAAAACGTTATTCGCACGGTAAGTTAATTGCAAACGGTTAATTTCCTGAATTAATATTAGAGGGAAATAGTTTCGTAATTATTAGATTGCAAATTTCAATAAAAGAATTGAATGCGAAATATTCTATCGAAAGTGAATACATATGTCTTACGTGATAAGATGTCTTTCTGAATTTTCATATTGCATAAGAATACCGCAGTCTAGCTATCATTCCTGACATTGAAAACGAAACTATTTCCTTTATTCGAGAGCAAGAAACGCGTTAACACGAGGAATGAACGAGGTTCTTCAGCAGTCAGAGATTTAATGCGATGACTACGTACTTTTGATTTTGGCCACTGCCCAAGTGTAGGAAATTACTTCAGCGAAAGCTCCCGCGAATTAAATAATAAGATGTCATTTACCAGATCGTTAAGATTTCATTATCCTTTTCATCACATTTTTATGTACAATTTTTTAATTAAATGGCGCGATTGCACGAATCCGATTTATAAATACGGTCTTTCCAACGTTGATCCAGGAATACGTGTTTATTATCATCGATTTAATTTAATGTACCGAAAATAAACATAAGTAACATCCGCGAGTTATTTTTAACGCGGTATCTCGCTAATATTAGAGACACGTTTAAATCGCAACATGAGCTAACAGGTGGAAGGAGTTGGCACGAGTTGCATCGATCGCGACCTTAAAACCGTTAATACATATTTCTCATATGATGGAATTCGCGATTGATCACAGTTATTCGGGACGTCGACGATTGATGATGAAATGTTAGAAAGATAAAATAATTTTTATCTCGTGCGTAGGACATGATAGAACTTGTATGTAAGCAATTTATTTGACATTTAACACGACCAATTGATTCTTCTTTCAACGCGATCTCGAATCTCCATAACACGTCGAGATGATTTCTGTAAAAAGATTTCTCCCAATATATTCCTGGCTTCTCATTTGAATTAAAGAATAGTTCAGGGTTTAGCATTTTTTTGATCGTAAAAGTCGTATCGAGAAGCGTTCCCTCGGAGGACTAAATGCGAGTGTGATCGATATCTCCTGGAATGTGGCACCGGCGTAACGCATCGGTGATCGAACACCACCGAGATGAGAGACGCTATAATTAACGCGGTTCGTCCTCAATCTTATAAATAACTCGAAACTGAAGTATTTTTGAGGGTTCTGGTTAGGTAACTATCTTCTAGATTGGCATATTTCACGCTCGCTGATAATATGTTTCAACTAGCTCGCGACGACTCTGATTTAACTTCCGATCTGATTAACAGGTAACAAAAGAGCCGCCGTCGAAGACGAGTCCGCGCCCAGATCGGAGAACAACATATGCTCTCGTCTTCAGCTACCGATCTCCGTACGAGTCATCAATGGGGAACGGTACTACAACACGACTTTTGCTATGTACGTCGCCACGGACGAAGAGGAGGGACTCTACAATCTTTTCTTCCACAATTGTCCAAACTATAAATACGACACTCAAGTTGCAGTGGATTTCAAGGTAAGACCTTCGAGACTTCCTGTGTAGAGTTTCACTTTATACTCTGTACTATAATTATCCATGACTCACAGGTAAAAATATATGAAATAAATAACGGGAACTTCTTAAGCGCGGGCGAAATGCCCCTGCCGGCTCTTTATTTTATGATGGCACTTTTGTTCTTCCTGTCGGGTTGTTTCTGGGTATACATCCTGAAGAACAGCAAGTAAGAGCCCCGCGATCAACGCACCAACGTTTCACAACATTTTTGTAACGTTACATCTTTTCGTTTAGGCACCCAGTTTTCAAAATTCATTACTTGATGGCAGTTTTGGTATACTTGAAATCGATGTCGCTGCTCTTTCACGGGATTAACTATCATTTCATTCAAACGAAGGGAGAACACGTCGCCGCTTGGGCGATTCTGTACTACATCACTCATTTGTTGAAAGGAGCCGTACTGTTCATCACGATCATGCTGATCGGTACTGGGTGGACGTTCATTAAACACATTTTAGCCGATAAAGATAAGAAACTGTTTATGATCGCGATACCATTACAAGTTAGTATGAGAAGATACATCATTTTCTGTGCATAAGAAAATTGAGGTAATTACAAGATTTCTTTAGATATTGGCGAACGTGGCGGAAATAATAATTGAGGAGAGCGAGGAGGGAGACATCGAGTACAAAACGTGGCGGGACGTTTTCATCCTCGTCGATCTGCTCTGTTGCGGCGCGATCATATTCCCAGTGGGCTGGAGCATCAAACACGTGGAGGAGGCCGCCCACACGGATGGCAAGGCGGCCGTCAACTTGCGCAAGCTTAAGCTCTTCAAGCATTTCTACATCATGATATTTTGTTATATTTACTTCACACGAAGCATCGTGTACTTACTCAAGGTAATGAATCATCGTTACCGCCGAATCACTCAAATTCTATAAGAAACGTTCTAGATTTGGGTACCTTTTCAATACGAATGGCTGGACGAGATGTTCCGCGAGATGTCTACTTACGTATTCTTCGTTCTCACCGGTTACAAGTTCCGAGCGGCATCGGCGAATCCCTATTTCACGTTGAACAACGAGGATATGGCGCACGACGATGACGACGATGAGATGGACGTTGTGTGAGTATGAATTTGATTTTGTCATTTATTTTTCTATTAGGTGAACTGGGTTCGTATTTATTATTTATACCTTGGTCAATTCTAATATGACGATCTCAGTTTATATTCTAGCGTTTCCGGGGACACTGGTCTCACCGAGGGTCTTAGCAAAGTCAGCAAACTGCCGAAGGTCTTGAGGCCCACGACAACGGACATCCCGTCTACTCAGGAGGAGCGGGATTGCTTGTTCAATAAAACAGAGACTTCCCGCGAGTACGATTGAAATCTTAATCGGTCTCGGCGCGGTCGAAAGTAAAAAAGACTCGTATCTCGTCTTGTGATACTATTCCGAAACACTAAGCAGAACAACGTGTTTGAAAAGTACCGAGAAAAGATGGAATCCATAGTTAAAAGTAGCATTAACCTCGCCCGTTTTTTGTATATTTTTACGTAGCAGAAAAAACCTCAATTGTAGTTTTTAGACGTACATTTTTTGTCTCGGTTCTCGTTCATTCTACTCCATGCACGAGCGATTTATCTATTCCCCCTCAAAATTGAACGTATAATCTATCAGTAGGAAATTATCGTAGACGTCCAACGAAATTGTTCTAGACGCGGTTTTCATGTTTTCAGTACGCGGTCATAAATTTAGAACAATGTTTGGATTGGCGAGGCCCAATCCGTGTCTCGATATCGATCTTGCTATGTAGCAGATTTCTCTTAGGCATTTAGCTTGGAACGAAGGAACCAATTTCCAATTTGCGTCTCTCTTTCTCTCTGTTTTTCTTTCTCTCTCTCTCTCTTAGTTCTCTTTGCGTGCGGAGTAAGAGCTCGCTGTTTAGTGATCTTGTGATATATAATCGATACGCCCGACTTCTGGTGTATCGCAATCCATTTTTGTAAAGCACTTGATAAAACGACTTTTATATAACGAACAATTACTGTGTCAAGAGGAATGTAATATGTTTGAAATGCGTTTAAATGTGTCCCGTTACGAAAATACCATGCTCGTTATTACTATTATCTCTATCGTATACGCGTTACCGTAATCATTGTTACGTCTGTTATTATTAGTACTCTATTGTATGTAATACGAAGGGACACGCAGAAACCAGTTGGATAAATAAAGTGGATATTTTTATGAAACTCAGTCTCCAATTTACTATAATAAATGCCAATCCTGTCAAAAGTATTTCTTACCGACAGCCACCGCATACGCGATTCACTGATATAATTAATGCATCGATAGAATTACGTAAGTAATAAATTTAAAATTATCGCTCGAGTTAAACAGTTGCCAACAATAATTAAACTGCTGGCAACATCAGCCCCGACGCGTGATACAATATCGAGTACTGCACCCACACGGCACGTGACAAGCTGCAGTTGACGTTTACTCCTTCATTACAACGAGAAGCGCTCCTACTCGATCGATCTTAAATTGAACGTTTAATTAATTCTCGGAACTCGGCATGCCATTTAAGTTCCACCGTTTTCCTCTATCGCGATCAATTGCAAACGTTCAGTTATTATAGAAAAATAATTTCATTTTTAATTAAAGAGATTTATCAAACTTTCTCCAGTAATGATTCTTTAAAGAAAGTAATGGGAAGTTTCGTAATCTGTATTCCCGACCTGAATATCTATATCTTGAGGCGCGTTCGATTAATGCGATGACAATGGATCGTGAGGTAGCGTGTCGGTAATAAATTACACGATATAATCATTCCTGGATGATGAGAGCGAGGTACCACAAATGCATTTTACCGCAGATCTTCGCATTCCTCGTTTAATACGTTCCCCGATCACACCTAATTCCCACGCGCCTACAATATTCAGATTTAGAATCAGACTTCTATTCATGGGATGCTGTTTTTTCTCATATCATTTCAATATTTATTTGATCGTTCATGCTTTTATCGTTCATCGGAGCGCACGATAATTCTAACATGGAACTCGAGAGAGTTAATCTGTTTCGATCATTCAGCTTTACAGCTGAATAGTTTCGATAAAGGATATTCAAATCCCTATAGATCGGCAATCTGATACTCAAAGGAATTCCTTACGTCTAGATTCCGTACGCGTTTCGTATCCTGATCCTGGATCGCATGCGTCGCGGCATCCTGGCGTCCCGGCGTTCGGTGACGTGTCTACGAAACTTTACGTCGCGGAAACTCTTCAGTCCGCGTCGCGACTCGCTTCCAAGCGCCTCACCTTCCCCATCGTTTTCTGGAACGCGGCTACTCCGCTTCACGCGCGTTTTTATCTCCTGTGAGATACTGTACAAAGTGCAGGAATGTTCATTTTAAGGTACGTATCCATTTCGAACCACTGTTAGAATCAAATGTTTGTCGTATAATTTCGATGTGACGTTAATAATAATTAATTCCTTAATAAAATCGCACCGATTGCGTGTGTTACACAATTTGGATTTGATGTTAATTAATTCGTCAATGAATATTTCGGTTTATAATTAATTTACTAATAAAATTGCAAGTTGTTACAAAATTTGAACAAGTTTAAAAGATTTTTTAAGACCAATTGATGTAGTTTGCAATGAAATTACTGAAATAATTAAGGAGGAAGCGTTAATGCATGGGCGACCTTAAAGCACCTCGTCAACCGTCTTTGTCCTCAGAAGTACTCATCAGACACAACGCGAGCACCTGAGTTACTTCCGATGGGACGTGTCTGAATTATGGATATTTGTTTCTTCAAATTATCATACATTCCCATCAAGCGACATTAATACAAGCTTTAAATAGGAATTACTAACACTGAAATTAGTATAATTCCTTGTTTAAATGTGGCAGGCATTATAACTGAATTCCGATGTAGTTCACGGGAGGGTACATTAATACCAGATGGGTCTCGCAGGGGCTTTCAGGAATAATCACAGTATTTTCCAGGATAATGTCTTAAACAATGAATATTAACTGCAATCTTAGCTATTACATAATCGCATAGTAATAAATAGTTACAAAAAATATTGTGTTATCTGTCAACTATCTTACAATGTAATTGATCTTTAATTTAGGGAAAAATTAGATCTAGAGGAATTATCATAAATGAAGATCCTAATAATGTCTGACACTTGTTCGACGAAGTTAGCAAACTTCCCTCGATCCGATACGCCGTCATCTTTTCTGTAATTGAGGGAACGAGGGTTTTGTCTTTCAAGTCACGATCCCATCGGAGACCCTCCGGTAGAAAAAAGTTTCCCGATTACGGGGAGCAAATGATACGGTGCGGGACTTTAGCCGCGTTATCAACCGACGTACCTTCATGAACTCAATGATGATCTCACGCCGTATCACCGTAGAACAAATATTCATCAGTTTTATCAAAACTGTATATACAAAATGAATATATCTGTTAACTGCGGAATTTAATTTTAAAAATCCCCCGCAGAGTGCGAAATTAAAATCAAGCAATGATGAGTACACATGTCGAACGCAGGGCAAATGGTCCTATTACAAATTTTACGAAAAACGAGGAAGGATTACATTGCTTTTTATTTTGTAATTTTTTATTTTACACGACGAGTATACAAGTCAACAGCACCGTAATAGAGATTTGGTTCGACGTGTATACACGTCGAGCGCACTTAAGTGATTAATGAATGATATCGGTATTACAATTATGTACTCGTTTCTCATTTTCTGTACTTGAGCGTTCCGGTCATTATCATTTCGATATTTT